TGCGGGGGGGGGCATTGAAAATTTTAAAAACTTGGAGGGGAGGCATCGAAATTTACCGATAACCTCAACAGGGGCCCTGTAAAAATATGAGCTTTTTTCAAGACATCTTCATCCCCCTCCCTCGGTGTAATAAATGTACTTTCCCTAATGAAAAACATTTCTCTCTTCGAAACAATCACTTTCGACAGATAGAGAGATGTTTTGAAAACATTTAGTCAAGTGCAGGGGGGCGGGGCATAGGAAATTTTCAAAAATAGAAAACGCCCTAATCCAATTTTTAGGGGTATCTTTCTTTTAAGGATTATTGGCAAAATGAGACGACTCATCGACGGAACGAAGTAGGAATCGTTGCCGTTCGGGTGGGGGCATATTCCCCAGAACATTTTTTTAAATCCGGAAATGCCACATCCAAATTTTGTTTTCCAGTTTTCCTTAAACTGGAAATACGCCGAAAATACAAGAATAAGACATTCTCTTGAACTTATAAAATTATTCTTAATTTTTTGTCAATATTTTTTGAAAAAAGTGTTTTTATCGGGGGGGGGGGGGAGGAATTTACGATGAGCAATTCGCCATCTATATATAGTTCAGTGGACAAACTTAATTTCAATATGGCGGGTAAAACGATGAAAGCGCTTGTGAAAGAGAAGGAAGGAGTCTCTTATAAATACATGGATTACCCAGTTTCTGGGCCAGACGAAGGAGAGTTGCTTGTCAGAGTCACTAGGACATCCATTTGCGGTTCAGATCTTAATTTATATTCATGGAATGAAGGTATTTATATAAATGAAAATGTACTAGTAAATTATTCTCTTTTACCCAATGGCGTTTTTTCCATTTAACTTATTTTAGCATGTCAGGGGCAGATAAAAATTATATTCCATGTTTTCTTGGACGAATTTGTTTCTTGCTGTTCTTGGGCTCAATAACAAAGTAATTTTCAACCCTACTAAGCACAAAACATGAGTAAGTATTTGACATGGAAACGAGGCCATTAATTGGGTGAAAAGTGAATAGACGGTGGGTCTATTGGTTGTGCAACAACAAATTATGACTGCGCATTTATATTGGCCATCACTTTCTTTTATATAGGCCATCACTTTCTTTTTATAGTAAATTATTATTTAAACTAATTGGAAGTTATATAGATTATGTTTACATAGATGGTGTAATATTCTGGAATATATTAACTTATTTATTGTGTTTTATTTTCCAGTTGCAAGGACGATTGCCAAAGTGCCATTTATTCCAGGTCACGAATGTGTAGGAGAAGTTAGTATTAAAAATATAAAGCATTTTTGTTCTAATGTAGACAGTGAGGTTGCATTGATTCAATCATGCAACTGGACCTGTAAAATATAGAAATACTTTTAAAGCCTCTTTCATCCATCACCAGAAATGAACATTTGCTGCAAGAGCTTTCCGTCCAGTCGCAATGTTTGACATTAGATGGGGAACGTTTATGGCAAGCTTGTTTTTGCGATGAGTGGGAAACAGCCCCTGGGCATTTTGATAAAAGGCCCTTCATGGGAAGCAAGGGAAAGAATTGACAATCTCTCGTTGGTGCCATGGATAAAATAATGCACAACAGGTCATCACCATGAGAAGTCTGGTAGGGGAATGTCCATCTCAAATGTATTGATGAGTAGACATGTTTTTGTCATCTCTAGATAATCAAGGTTGGTGCTGGCTGTCCTGATTCGTTTAAAATTGGTCAACGAGTTTGTTGTGAAAATCATTATTTCTGTGGCAAATGCTACCAATGTCTGCATGGTATTGCTACATTTCATACAATAATAAATAATAATACAATAATAAATACAATAATAAATGCCGGATGTAAACGAGAGGAGGCTAATGCCAGATATAGGGTCAGTAGTTGTGGAGCAAGATGGCTGATATTTTTATTTATTTTTCTAATCTTTACGACCCTATAATAATTTAGAGGTTGTCTGACTCGATTAACAGTAGTTTTTAGACAACCTGTACCAGATGGTAAATTTATTGTTAACCCATTGAGTGGCAGCACTTTCCCCCTGACAAGTAAAATTGTCCGGTGTTAGACAGGGTAAAATAATATTTTGTACATTTTGTGATGGTGCTAATAAATTGTATTGTAATGCAGTATGTTATTGTTCATGAAGGCCAAGAAAATATTTGTCAACATTTAAATCAATATGGTCATGGAAATGGAACAGTACATGGAGGTGATACAAACATCTTTTTGTTCACTTTTTACCATTAACAAGTTAAAACATGAATAGACAAGAGTTAATATATTTTTTTTCATCTTCCATTAGGGTGTTGTCAGTACACTATCATACCAGCTCGTTATGCTTATGTATTGAGGACTGATATTTCTGATAATGCTGCTTGTTTGTTGGAACGTAAGAAGATTTATTTGATTCTTCATTTCTGCTCTCTTGGTGTCATTTGTAATATTGAAATTATTTTGCAGCATTTGGAGTTTCGCATCTTGCCATGGAAAAGCTTGAACCAGCGGACGAAAGTGTTCTAATTCAAGGTATAAAGTCTTTTGAATAAACAACCAATATCTGTGTGTCATCTACCTTTGTCTTTTTATCACTCTAGGGTGTGGTCCAATAGGTCTCATGGCAACTGGCATAGCAAAAGCAATGGGTGCCAAAAAAATGTAAGCATTACAATAACACTTAGTTCTTCATATATACAGTAAGTGTTCTATACAAGAAGCCTGAAATAAAGCCTTGGAGATTTATTTTCATTTTCTAATGTTTCTTCAGTATTGTGACAGACATTGTTGAGCAAAAGCTTGAGCTAGCCAAGAAATTGGGAGCTGACATTTTGGTGAATGGTAAACGTCAGAGTTTAGCAGAAGTAGGTTGGTGTTATATTTTCTATATGCAACGATTATTTACTATATAGGTCTGCATTATGTAGCCAAAGGTATGTATTTAGTTTAGTGATCCATTAATTAAGAAATGAAAAATTTCTCTTGCAGTTTTTAGAGAGACAGATGGTTATGGTGTAGGCAGGATACTTGAAGCAAGTGGAAATGCTGACTTGTTAAGCAATTGTTTTAAATTACTGAGGTACAGTATATCATTTCTCTCATTTGGTAAGAATTTAGTTTAGTTAGGAGGTTAGTGGTGGAATTATAGATTATCATTTATTTCTAGAAAAGGAGGTGTAGTTGTTCTGGTTGGATTGGTCAAGGTGAGGAAACTGGGCTTTATTCATTATAAGAATTGCTCTTAAAAGGTGTGCTTTGAGTCCGTCAATTTATGGTTTACACGGATGTTAAAACTGCTCTAAGTTGCATTGCCTTGTGTAAAATACCATGCATGTAAAATTGGCCAACTAATTAAGTGGTAGCGTATGCGTCTGATTCAACAAAGTACTTTCCACATTTGCAGCAAGCATTTCATGTGGAGGACTTTCTTAAGGATATTTTGTTCAAATCTTTGACCATAAAAACACTTCATGGACGACATATCTTCTCAACCTGGGAGAAAGCAGAGAAAATGCTACATCAGCGAAAGTGAGTACTAGTATTGGTTAATGTTTCTGTTGGGGTTTTTCTTGTTGATTAGTTCTAGTCTTGCTACTGTCACTATATATGCCTTTACAGTACTCTGCGCTTCAATTTGTGTAATCAATAAGGTTTTCTTGTACTTTCTAGAGTCGATATAGAAGCAGTTATATCTCACACTATTCCATTGAGCAAATTTGAGGAGGTCAGTATATGTTGCACTGTTTTTTACCAACCAAGAATAGAGACTTACAAACATCCAACTTGTTGTTGCTCTTTGATGGTAGCATTCAACTGTACTGCCATATTCCTAACCAGTGAGCTCCCTAGGATAAGGAGCGACCATATGAAATTTCTAGAAAATTCATAATGAACCCCAAACCACTCCATACCAAGGGAGCACGCCAGAAATACTTGTGTAAATTTATACTAACCTTTTAATTACATGTAAATGTTTTCAATTTTCATCGGCCACCATTTTGAATGTTGAAAGCGGTATTAGCGTATCGCAGGCGCAATAATTTATGTTCATCTTTGACATTAATTTATGTTACACAATGATACTCCGAAGGGCGACCGAGAAAGATCCGAAATTTAAAATAAGGCGGAGAAATAATAAAAAATAAAGAGGGGAGTGAAACGGCCGAACACGTGATGGGGTATTGGCCAATGACAATGCGTATATCCAATTTCGTTATCTGGCCATGCTCGTTGACTAAGAACAGAAGAACTGTCGAATCTGAAATATATCAAAACTTGTATTGATTTGCATCGTTGCTCGCCATCAGTGAATTTTCGACAGCAGAGAAACAAATACATTTGCGAATGCTGGACACAAAATACAGTATTAATAATTCATGAAGGAAATTCAAAAGAAATGAATGTTTAATCAATGTATGTAAATCGTCGGATAATAGATTTGTAAATTGTTCTCATTTACATAAACTTCAGCTTCGATTTTCTCGGCTTAGACAATGTTTATTTTAAAATTACTTCGCCAATGAACTCATATGATGGACCATCTTTTAAGCACGTTAAAACACGAGCAGCCGATGTTTATCTGATATACAAACTCTCGCCATTGTCCCCAATTTTAATATATTCTAATGTGACTCCCTTGAACTAATTATAGTAGATCAAATATAAATCAACGGTAAATCCGAAAATAATAAAAAAAAATTATTTTCTACAGTATATTATATTATATTTGTTGTTCTACAGTATATTATATTAAAACACTCAGTGGTTCCCGTAATAGTAGGTCTCACTTTGTTTCCGGTTTGTTCCTAGCAACATCAAATGTTCCTAGTAACAGTCAACCAGCATCAGTGGATCACGTGTTCGGCCGTTTCACTCCCCTCTTTATTTTTTATTATTTCTCCGCCTTATTTTAAATTTCGGATCTTTCTCGGTCGCCCTTTGGAGTATCATCGTGTAACATAAATTAATGTCAAAGATGAACATAAATTATTGCGCCTGCGATATGCTAATACCACTTTCAACATTCAAAATGGCGGCCGATGAAAATTGAAAACATTTACATGTAATTAAAAGGTTAGCATAAATTTACACAAGTATTTTTGGCGTGCTCCCTTGCAAGTTGTGGACAGCTTGTTCCCAACTTGTGGAAAACTCGGGACAAGCAGTGCTAAAACAACTTGTCGACGGCTTGTTGGCAGACTTGCTACAAGATGTGAGATTTTTGCGTGTGTACCCACGTAAAAATCTTACATCTTGTCAACAAGATGCGTTCGCAACAGGTTTGTAGAAAGCTTTTCATCAACTTCCTATAAAGGTTGTCACTCACAACTTGTTAAGAAATTGTTGAAATGACAAATTGCTACAAGGTTGTTGAGCTCAACAGACTTCTTACAAGCTGTTCCCACAACTTGTTATCGTTCTGCAATTCATCAATTTCTTAACAAGTTGTGAGCGACAACCTTGTAGCAAGTTGATGAAATAACAGCATTGTTACAACTTTGTTAATAAGGTTACTACAAGCCTGTTGCGGAAAGTTTTGTAGACAAGTTGATAGAACGGAATTGTCGCAACTTGTTGACAAGCTTGCTACAAACATATTTCAAACACAT